ACTCACGTTGGCGTAAATTTGGTTTTAGAGATCTTAAACATCTTTCCGAGCGTGCCAGGGATCATCAATCTTCTATGGAGCATCTGGACAATGCAGTAAAATACCGAACATTCGGAAATGTTAATATTGCAGCACAGTTGGATGAAGGACGCGCGGTTTCTATTCGTCGGCACAACCAAAACGTCGAGAAAAACCGCCATGTTCTCGGTCGATTGATAGATGTTTTGAAGTTCATTGGTTGTCACGAGCTGTCCCTCCGTGGGCACGATGAACGGGCTGGCTTTTCTAATAGAGGGGTATTTTTGGATATGGTAGAATACACCGCATCCCTAGATACAGTATTGAGAGATCATCTTGATGCCGAAACTGTTTCGAAAGGGACATCTAAGGATATCCAAAATGATTTGCTCGACTCAATGTATAAAATTTATTTACAACATTTGGCTCTGGAAATTGAGAATTGCCAGTTCCTTTCGATTCAGTCTGACGAGACAACTGACATCACGTGCGTTTCCCAACTGGCTGTGATTTTTCGGTTTGTGAAAGGTGGTAAACCTACCGAGAGATTTCACAGCTTTGTACCAATCGTTGATCGCACGGCTTGCGGGATATCGGCTGTACTGAAAGAAGTGTTACAGCCTTACAACGCGAAGTCAAAATTGATAGCTAAAACTTATGACGGCGCGGCAGTCATGAGTGGGTCGAAACATGGTGTTCAAGTTTATATAAAAGAAGATTTTCCTCATGCGCATTTTTTACATTTTTATGCACACCAATTTAACCTCGTTATTAAAAATATGTGTCTTGATACCCCTCTCGTCCGTATATTTTTTGCAAATGTTTCGGAGTTTTCTTCATTTTTTTTCCGTTTCGCCGAAGCGCTCTGACCTCCTTCGCCAGATATGTAGCCGCCGTCTCCCAGCTTGTGCACCAACACGTTGGAACTTCCAATCACGCGTGGTGCAGGGCGTGTCCGAAATTAGGTCTGAGCTCATTGAGTGTTTCAATGGCATTCAGAGCTCTCCGGTTTGGGACGAACGCTCTGTGAGGGAGGCGGCAGGTCTAAAGCGTCTGCTAGAAGATGGTGAGTTTTTTTCTCGCTTTTTTCTCCACAATATTCTATCACGTGGATGTATTATACGGCGCATTGCAGTCAAGGCTAATGGATGTGCGTCTGTGCAGTCGTGTATTTCAGACTTCTGCGATGCTGTATCTCGTATCCGGGAAACAATAAAATACGACGACACATGGAGTGCTTCTTTACGCCGCGGGCAAACAACGCAGCGCTTGATTTTGTCTGCAAAGGAATGCTGTGACATTCTGGTGAATCAAATAGGCGATCGTCTGCGCACTGAACACCTTGCCGCGTTCTCTTTGATGAACCACAAAAATTTTTCAAAATTTGCACGTCAATTTCCAATCCATTTGTTGGCTACTGTCTCCAAATTTTACCCCATGATAAACGTGGGTAAATTGGAAAATGAATTGCGATGTATATACACCAATCAAACTTTTTTGAACATCACATCAACTTGCGCGCTCTATGGGTTCCTCATAGATAACACTCTAGTAACTACCTTTGCGGCGTCTGCAAAATTTTTGGACATCATTTTGACGACGCCTATTTCTTCCGCCGACGCAGAGCGAACATTCAGCACGCTGAAGCGTATTAAAACGTATCTCAGAAACACAATGAAGCAAGATAGATTAAATTCCTTGGCTGTATAATCCATTCACAGAGACGTTATTTCTGGGATGGAATTTCTGGGAAGATTTCTCACAAGGAAGATTTACTTCTTTCAGAAGTGGAGGCTGTTGATGAAGATGAGCTTGTCAATATCACACTATTATCAAATGGTCGAAATAGTCTGGTAGATGAAACAAGGGCATGTGCAGTGCAGTAATTGATTCGGGTTGTACATCAACAGTTTGTGGAGAAGATTGGCTAGCGGACTACGTCGAATTGCTGCACGAAATTAAGCAAAAGGTGAGCTCCGTTACTTTGAAGTTTGGTGATGGCAGTAAAGTGCGATCTCTTTATGCTATATGTTTACCAATACAGGGAGTCCTCGGGTTACGACGGTCGCGACTTACGCTGTTTCGGGGTTACAACGCTGTTATAACCCTTCATAACGCACTCCATAAAATATAAAAGATAATACTGTTATGTAATATCTAAGCCCTTAAACTGGATCGTTGTGATCAAGAAAATCAGTTCTTTGGGCTCATTGGTTTCCGTCATTTACATCGTGAATGACGTGGACAATACAGTACGATATGTATAGAGTAATTTATGTTCCGACTTACACTGAAATTCGGGTTACACCGCGTCTCAGGAACGGAACGCCGTCGTAAGTCGAGGACTCCCTGTACAGATATCGGGAAAATCATGCTCCATAAATTGCGAAGTCATTCCCAAATCACTTCCCCCACTTCTGAGTAAAAAAGCGTTAAAGAGAGCAAAAACAATCATAAATTTTGAAAATGACAAAATTACGATGTTTGGTCGAAGTGTTGAAATAAGAACAACCGATGGTAAACACTACTGTATTAAAATATTACCAAGTCAGATTGGTAATGAAATAGAATTCTTTTCTTGAAAAATGGTTACAATAAGAATGAGGCGAAAATACATTTAATAAAGCATATGCAAAACTCAAGAATCTTCTAGAAAAGCCGGGTCACTCTGAATTCTATATACGATTTAATGAAACTGTTGCGGTGAATTTGCACCAGTTGGACTTCAATTTATGGTACATGCACAGTAATGATTTGTTCACCCGATTGAGTGCTGGGTCCATCATATCAAGAAAAAGTTCCAAAGGTATTGTCAATCACTTTATTGATCATTGGATAAGTGTATATGGTACTGCAAGAAAAATCTTAACCGATGAATATAATAACTCTGAGTTTCGTGACATGGCCGAAAATTTTGGGAATTTTTGGTCAAAAGGACAGCGGCAGAAAGTCCGTGGAGTAATGGCATTCTGGAGAGGCATAATGGGGTGCTTACTGAAATAATGTTAAAAGTACGAAAAGAACAATCACTTGATTGGAATACCGCTTTAAAATGGTCAATCTTTGCCAAAAATTATTGCAAAACTGCCATGATTTTAGTCCTTATCAGTTGGTGTTCGATCGTAACCCAAATTTGCCATTAGTCCTAACCGATAAACTTCCAGCGTTAGAATGGGCCGCAGGACGATGCCGTTTATCTCTCAGTTTCATAGCGCACATAAGGGAACTACCTGAAAATGATTTTAAAATGCTCATTAGAAATTTAGTAACAGATAATACTTCGTTTCGATTGCCAAAAGTTGCACGTTTTACGAAAAAGACCGTAAATATATACTACTACTAGATGTCCAACTCCTCTCGCCGTATAATAAACAAACAAAGGCGATGTTGCACCTCCAAGTGGCGGGCGTCACGGTCGGTGGGTTCAGACAAGGTGCTTAACGACGACGACTCTCCTGCATCAGAGCTCGCAAACTCCCCTGTTCGTTGATGACTGATCGAAATATTTACTGAAGGGCGCGGAGAATTTGGTAAAAATGTACAAATAATTGTGAAAATGAAGACACAATCTGTCTTGCACATTACCAGGATGATGTGACAACTTTCTTGTCGAAAGAAAACAAGGCATCAAAAATGCGATGTATTGCAAAAAATGTCAGTCAGATGTAGGAAAAGTGGTGACGAAAATGAATACTTTGCACCTTATATATAAAAAAAAACTTAGCAGCATAGCGTTTTGGTCTAACTTTATCTCAAGTATTGTACCTTTTACAGAAGTTTTATTCTCCACTTGACCTATAATCAGGGCTGCCATAACGTCCTTATTTCTAAGATTTGTCCTTATTTTTAACAAACGTCCTTATTTTGACATGTGTCCTTATGAATGAATATACCTGTAAATTAAACTTTAAATTTAGTTTAGATCTGGAATAAGTAAACGTAAAAACATTTGCCGGGATGATTATGAGAAAGAATTCAGCGGCGTCAAACCAAACGAAGGGCCAGTGATTTGCGCAATGCAGCTTTCGTGAATGTGACATTAACCTGGAATCCATAGATAAAGCAGCAATTTCTGCTCACAATGCAACCCAGAAGGCAGAAGCACAAGGACTCTGCTCAAGAAATTGAATCAAACCAAGAGTCAATGATTATACAAAGGTCGCACTGCATGAATACATTCTGTTTATTACATTTCATTCATTGTTATTTTATTACTATGTTTCCCTATCCTTATTTTGGGGTTCATATCGATGGCAGCACTGCCTATAATTATAATACTAAATCTCAAAAGCGTAATAACCACCAATCTCACAGTCGAAGAAATCGAAATTTTAGATTACATAGCAGGATATGTTATTAGAAAAATTTATCACAGTGACGAAATTTCAGCTAGTCATAAACTCAAATTGTTAACAAAAATTACGCTTACGAAAGTGACAGAACGAAAAGATTTCACAACAAAACATTATGGGGAACATTGGAATGGCTATCTCAATACATGCAAGCAGCTGAAATTTATTTCCATTATTGAACAGCTGACACTTGATAGAGAAAAAAAAACATTTTCAAATCATTCATGAGCGAATACCTCAATGTAACTGAATGTCAAGTTGTAACAACACTACTTGAAAAGGTATTCAAAAAATTGGAGCAAATGTATAAGCAAAGTACTGCAGCCAAAATTATAACAACAAGATGGACAATAGGATTCGTGGAATACGAAAACAATTAAAGAAAAAAGCAGCTAAAACGAAGATTAAGATATATGTGATTACAGTCAAGTTTCTGTACTCCTGAACCTGAAGTATGCATACTAAGAATTAAGGACACCGGAACGTAGTGTGTATACCTCGTTAGAGTTAGGCCATTTCCAATTTTTTTTTTATCTCAGTTCTATTACAAGTTCGGGGACTAACCAAGTGAGTTTTGTAGTATTTGTACCTAAAATTATGACCTAAACCTAACCTGGTACACATACGATGTTCCATTATCCGCATCTTGGTACACGTACTTCTGGAGTACCCAAGTTTTTCTTCTCAAAAATCCATAGAAATACAAATTAATATTTTAATTATTAAGGTGATTAAACATTGAATTTCGAGTAATGTTAATAGTGGTATTGATGTTTTTTGAGGCTTTGGGAGTGGTTCTTAGTGGGGGTAAAGAGGCAATTTAGATTCTATCACATGCAAATTGCCACATATTTCTTTGAGTGATTGCTGCTTTTCAATCAACTTCTCATTATATGTGAACTGGAGCACCGATGGATTCTCAGCCCCTCAACCTGCAAAATAAGCATCTTTTAAACTGAAAATCTTTTGGTGGTTTATTCAATAAATAGGGTCAGGGGCATAGGGGAGGTTAGTTGAAAAGTTAGACCAAAACCCCTAGAAGGTTTGAGCGGAAGCCGTGGGTTTTCGATAGTCCAGACTCTAAAAAGTGTTTCAAGCCACGAAGAATTTATATGTATGACATAGAAAATAAATATATAAAAGAATTTTATTCTACATTTAAGCGGAGGGGGGGGGGGGGGATCTGGGGTCTGACAGATGTTTGGTTTAATATGGTATATTTGGACCCTTCATACGTTGAAGAAGCAATGAAATGTTGTTGTTTTTTATCCTATAACAGAAACATATGAGTACAAAATGAGTTGCATGCAGCTGTGTAGCATTTATTTTGCTAATCACCTGTTGTACACTCTCAGTGTGTAAAATAATTTATGAAATTTTGGCTGATTCACTGCAGTCTTTTGTCTCCAGATGTTTCAGAGGGAGTAGATTTCCGTTTTTAAGGTAGGCCACGTTTGTAGTGCTGCTGCATATGCCAAGAAAGGTATTCTGCAGTTTGCAATACTTGGCAGTTGCTTCAAATTCAGACATTTCCAAAATCTCAGCAACAGATGCAGGAAGAACCTAGAAAGAAAAATTTCCATGGTTCATCTGTTATTAATGACCTGAATAATGTTGGTAATTTTAGAAATAATAATCATGCTCCAAGTATTTAAATGCTCAATAGGAATACCAATAAATTAATATCTAAAACAATACTTTGTGCTATACCTGTGCTGAATATTTAACAGACATTTTTGTCAAGCTATTGAATTAAACATGTTGGTCTGTTAGTTTACATGGCTGTTTCAAATGTTTTTAGACATATCTTCATAAATTCCCTCTAGATGTGTTTCCAAGCCAAAACCCCATATGGTGACAGCAAATCATTCTTCAAAAGTGAGTTTCGAGCAGTCTGCAAAAATTTATATTTTAGTTACGATATTTCAAAATAAATTGCCTACAACAATTGAAGCTTGGGCCTCGTCTACCATCTAAGCATGTGTGTTTTATATATATAAGTACAGCCACTTTGACAAAGTGTTATTTGAAACAAAAATGTGAATACCTCATAAAACAAACTGGAATTTTTAAAATGTAACGGTTTCAGGAGAAATATTCATGCATTCAATGAATGTGGTGGATTTTGCAGTAGCAAAAAAGTTATTGCTATTTATTATAAATCAATAATTTAAAAACACTCGACAAAATAATGCAAAAATTTTTTGGCATATCTAAAATGATAAATATATATATGTTGAAGCCATGTTTAGATAATAGCAAGGATAGGTATCCAATTTATGTGTTAGTACCAGTCTGAAATCAGGCAAAATGGATTCACATGGCAAACGTAAAACACCTCTTATGTTGTCATATGCGGAAAAAATTTTTAAAAGTTAAAATATGTGTGTTCAATATATGATTTCATACCGACCTTACAATTTCAGGGTGGTATCGTTCACCACATATCTTTTTTGCCGAAAGTTTTAGTTCCTCAATCAAAAATTTTCATTGATATGGCTGTAACGTGTAAGTTGATTCTGATTTTTGAGATAAATCATCACCTATTAGTCAATTTATATCCTTGCTTACTGATACACAGTATAAATCCTCACACTGCAACTTTTATATGATCCTTTTCTTCCTGAAAATATACATATTAGGTTGCATAATATCTTGATCTCTTATCAAAATTTACATTCCTTGACAAATCATTACTGTATTGGCTACCTAGGACATTCACAACTTCCCATTTTTATGCTGAACAATCGTAGCACAAAGTGATTCTCTACTACATCTACTCATTGGAGCCTTGAAGTGAATTTAAAATCTTCAGATCTTACTGTCATTTGTCAACATGCTTTCAAGTGCTAAGACTGGTTCCAGGGCCTTCCCTCTCAAATGATTGCTCTTCTATAATAAAATCTTTATTAATGTTGATGCACAACTAATTTGAATGTTTATAAAGCCACTTACTTAATCTTGTCGTGAGACAACGCCGTCAGAACACAGGAAAACGCACGATGATTTTGGAAGCAATAATCTGTCTGCGCCTAGTCGGGCGTGACGGTAAATCCTACATCGGGATCGGGAGCGATTATCGGAAGTTACACGGGGTTGCCTTGACTAAGAAATATGTGGTACTATCTGTCCTATATTCTCTGCTTATCCGATAACAATGGCCAATGAACGCAGACTTCCGTATGACGTAACAATAAAAACTTGGTCAGCTGTAGGTGGATTCAGAAAATAATGTCCGTTTGTGTGAAACAGGGGAAAGTGAACAATTTTACTGATGTCAGTCGGTCTAATTCACAGAGTCGTCAAGAACCTGAGCTGCAATGCTAAGTTATGCAGGAGTTGAAAAATGAAATGATTGAGAGTTGAGAAATCATGTATCATGTTGTAGGCTAACAATTGATTTCAAAATATACAGAACAATTCAGACTGTGTGATTTATTGAGATCAGTGTGGATATAGTCAGGTATGCAAACACTGCAGGACTGTAGTACATCAGATAAAATGCTTTATTTAGTGAAATTTTTCTATTTATCGAAAAACACTCATGTTGTTCCAAATAGGATTTTCTTCCTCATTTTAGATACTGTACTACAAAAAAACGGCAATGTTCCATCAATCCAACCTAACGCAGGCTATCAGCGCTATACCTGTGAGAATAAAACGAAGAAGAAGTCTTGTCGAAAATTGTCAATGTATATGAGAACCATAACAGTTGCAAACAGCTTAGATGGGCTATTCATTCTGAAATAGGCTACTTCGGCATTCTTCTGCACTTTAAACTGCACATCCAACTGATGTTGGGGGAATCGAAATGCAGTGAGTTATTTTTCTCAACTATGAAGCTGTGTTGTTGTAATCCTATAGATATTGATTTTTGGGAATACCGTTATATGCAATTTTGCATCAAGATTTTACCCAATATATTTGTGTTTTGTGCTCACGGTGTTAATTTGTGACTTCATCGCATAAAATTGTCGCGTTCGATGACTTCTATAAAATGAATGCAACTTTTCATGCTTCATCGTTATAAACCTATGGTTATCGATTTTCGGCGAATCCCCTTAAATCCAATTTTTGAATCAGGATTTGTAAAGCATGTTTCACAGAAAATGTGCAACTTTTGTTAGTGGAAACAAGCTGAAATGCGTTCAGTATGTTCATTTTTATACAAGACTAAAGAATTCATATAGTTCCCAGATGTGCGTTACGAAAATCACTTTCTAGGCGTTTTTCAGCGCCTCGTCTCACGGCCTAGGAGGGGACAACACTGAGTCAAGTGGTTGGAAATCATTTAAATACCTTACATATGTCACGGAAAGCATTTATTGAGGCTGAAAGTAGTGAAAGAGTCAGACGGGATCTGAGTAAACAAACTAGGTCTCAAATGATTTTTGAATATGTAGCTGGGGACAAAGTGTATAATAAACGAGAAGAATCCAATGAATGGAAAGGGCCTGGTATAGTAATTGGCTCCGATGGTGCTATTGTATTCATTAGGCATGTTGGTTGTGTATTTAGAGTACATAAGTGTCGGCTTCAGAAATATGATGCAAACGAGCAATCAAATCATTCTTCGCCTGAAAATCTTGATAGAAACAATCATGAAATTACTGTTTAAAGTGAGCCTGAAAATTCTGATGCAAAATCTTTTCCTCGAATTCAAGGGTATGAAAGCGATGATGAACAGGATGAAATAATTGACATAGATTCTCCCAATTCACCTGACAGAGGTAGAAATTTAGAAACAACTAAAACAGTTAAGAAGATTGTGTTCAAATCAGGCAAACAATACAATTTTGTCCACAAGATGATGAAACTTTGCTTGAGGCTGAAGTTCTTGGTAGAGCTTGGAAAAGCTACTGGCAAATACAGTTATTGGTTTAATGTTGAATACAGAGCATTTGGCTGGTGATCAAGCTAGCATAGACATTTCCAAAGTAACAAATCTTCAAGTCAGAGAACCTGATCGCGACCAAGAAAATGTTGAAGATATTTCATTCTTAAAGCAAAAGAAAAGGAATTAGAAAATTGGAAATGTAATAATGTTGGCCAAAGACAATTTCAACAAGATGATTTTGCACACTTAAACAGACTCCAGATGGCCTACAGCCAAAGGCACGACTTGTCATACGAGAAGATTGTTTAAGTGATCTGAAAAAAGATTCTCCAACTTGCTCAAAAGACAGTTTGCGGGTCATTTTAGCATTGATTGCTCAAAAGAAGTGGAAACCTAATACAATTGATGTAAAAACTGCTTTTTGTGCAGGGCAAATATCTCGATAGAGAGGTATTCATACATCCACCACTAGCACAAAAAGATGGGAAAACGTTATGGCATTTGAATAAGTGCGTATACGGGTTAGCTGATACTTCCCTATATTGGTATCGCGAAGTCAAAGAAGTTCCAATTCAACTGGGTGCTAATATGTCAAAACTTGATCCTGCAGATTTTATTGATTTGATGGGGAATTGAAAGGAGTAATAGCCTTGCATGCAAAGGATATTCTGTGGGCAGGTGACACAGAGTTTGGAGAAAAGTTCATTGCGGGTTTGAAATCTGCATTTACAGCTGGTGCTGAACAAAGCGAAGCATTCAATTATTTGTGACTGAATCTTACTGTTTCTAATTAAGTGATTTATCTGAATCAATCTCATTATATTGATGGTATGAAATACATTCAACTCAGTCACGAAACCAAATCTGACAAAAATAGGGTTCTATCAAATCATTAACAAAATCGTTCGAGATCTGCTTTGGGTCAAATTTTGTGGGGGGCTGACCAAACCAGACCATATGTGATATTTGGCGCATCCTCCATAGTCTTGCATCCAGGTTAAAGACCGAGCATTGTTAGCGATATTCTGGAAGCAAACAAGCTGATTCGACAGTTGAAATCACACGAAGTGGATATAAAGTTCCCAAATCTTGATTCTGAAAAGTTGAACTTAGTTGTATACAGTGATACAGAATTTGAAAGATGGATTGGAAAGATGGATACATTGTATTTCTGGCCAACAATCAAAATTAGTCAATACCGTTAACCTGGCAGTCGAGGATCAAACGAGCCATGCGAAGTACATTGGCTGCAGTAACTTTGGCAATGGCTGATGGAGTTGATGCTGCTATGTATCTTGCTGCGTTATATGCAGAGTTATCCAGTGGATTTCTAGGTTCTACGCAACTTTTGAAGAAGAGCTGAAAAGCCGCTTTCGCACAGGTACGTAGTGGCAAAAGGTAGCAGAATTTGGAAAGCTAGTTCAGCCAGTTGTGGATAAGAGTCATATATGGAGCACTAGAACTGGGCTAGTGATTTTTTACAAAAGAGGTCACGTGCGACTGAATCACAACGAAGATCAAGAAATTGATCTTGCACGTCCTCTGGTACATCGGTTACGTCCAGAGAAGAAGAGAACGGATAACGTGTCAGCGTAGAGTCATTTTCTTCTAGGTCCGGGAAGTACCTTTGAAATTCTGACTGCAATGAATCAAGGTGCTCTACAACACAGTTTTTCAAATCTTCTTGTAAGTTTTCCGAATCTTCATTGCCACTTGATAATCTCTCAAACATCGCAAATTTCCTTTCAGATACTTTTTCGGCGCCAGTTTTTCAACTTTAAGACAATTGCTCTCATATGATCATTGAGCTGAATGATGTTTGCACCCTTCCCTTGTAACTTCAGATTTAAAATGTTCAGTTTTTTTAAAATATCGGCCAAATAGGCAAGATTATTCATCCACAATTGATCATTAAGGTGGGAAAGAAATTCATTTTTTTCATCGCAAAGAACAACTTCAATTCTTCCTTCATCTCAAAAATGCGGTTTAGAACGTTTCCTCTGGACAACCACCGCACAGCTGTATGGAAGAATACAGCATCGTGGGTTGAATCCATCTCCTTAAACTGGCGTGTGTTGAGGCTTCCGGATTTGATGTAATTTACGATTTTTACTACCGAATCTAGTACATTTCGCAGAGGGGTTGGCAAAGTTTTACTTATCTATGAATGACACAGTGTGTACCTTTGGCTTCAGGAACAAGTTCTTTGACTTTCTTTTGAAACCCCGAACGTGGCCCTAGCATGGCAGGAGCTCCGTCAGTACAAACTCCACAAACACGTTTCCATTCTAGATTTGCGGATTCGAAAAATATTTTTAATTTCTCCATAATATCTGAGCTTGTAGTTGTACTGGCAAGCTCATGACAAAAGAGGAATTCTTCTTTGATGTCCCCTGAATAAATATATCTTGCAAAAACCAACAGTTGGGCGCATGAACTAACGTCTGTTGATTCATCAACCTGAAAGGAAAACATCGGAGAGGCTTTAATTTCATTCACCACTAAATCTTTGACATCTTGGGACATATCTGAGATGCGCCTCTTAACAGTTGTGTTGAAAAGGGAAAGTTGTTTTACTTTTGCCACGCTGTCTTCTCCGAGAATTAATTTCACAGTTTTCAACAAGCACGGATTAACAAGAGTTTCTCCAATTGTGTGAGGCTTTTTTTGTTTTGCAATTTGCAGAGAGACTTCATAGGATGCTTGCACTAAGGCCTGTTTTTCTTGATAGAAGCTCCCTGAAACATCAAGTCTTTGACGTTTCATAGCGGCTTCATGTCGTCGAAAAAATTCTAAATTCTTCGTGGTGAATTTGGAATGCTTAGTCTCCAAATGACGTTTCAATTTGGACGGTTTCCTGGATTCAGCACTGAGAACGACATTGCACAATACACACTGCGGCTTCTCAATACCACCGATGACCAAGGATGTAAAACTATACTTCAAATAGTCTTCCTCATATTGTCGCTTCTTCGCCATGGTAAATAAAATACGGAATATAGCTTTACTGCAGGATGTATGATAATCTTCAGGATGAAACAACATAGACTACAAGCCTACCCCACAGAAAACCCCTTGGTATCAAAATCCCGGCGTTTCGCAGCATTTCTTCGAAGCCCGCGTGTTTACCGTATCTCGGCGCGCGGAAATGCAGACAGTTTTTGTGACGTCACAATGAATAACATGCCATAACCATCTCGTGTCGCTTGCTTGATTTTCAAGCAAGAAGCGACATTTTGGGGTCTCACCACAGCTAGTGAAAATCTCTCGAAGGCAAACGCGAGTCTATTCCAGACTTTTTTGCGTTCTATTACCAATATGTAACCTAAAGCATTGTAGTATTTTCTACTGTTTTGCAAGACCTTCGCGAACCCCCTTGAAACCCGTCGCGACCCCCAGGTTGGGAACCACTGTGCTAGACCAAGATGTCCGTTTCTTTTGAGTGCGATGTCATACTTAAATTTTATGATGGATTGAAAATTAAGGTCTGGTAACTGGTTTCCAAGTTTTTTTTTATCGGCATAATGTTTTTTATAACTTCATTCAAACCCATGCCTTTGCATCATTTTTGGTATTACTATTAGGCGACGAACTATTTACCGTAAGGAGACGTTAGGTGCCTGTCGCTAGGTAACGTAAGCGAGTCGTTCGTTTGTGTTTGGGAGATTCTCTTTGTTGCTTTCTCCCAACACGTCGAAATCCTACAGGTGAGAGCAAAAAACTACTGACGACATTGGTTCGATGCCGTCTGGTACGAAATGGTTTTTAAATCAGGATTTGCTTATAGGCCAAGTGTATTAGTAAACTTCTTTGAGCAATTAGTACGGGTGAAGACGTGTTTTGCGATATGTTCTACCTATATATTTACGGTTCTACATGTTGTATATACTCTCGTACCACCATTTCTTGATATAAGTAGACAGATGTACCGTAACCGTTCGTTGGCAATATCTTCTTACATGTACGTTATTTTAGACGCTGTATAGGATCGACTTCATGCTGAACTTATTTGGTACAATCAATGCATTGTAGCTCGCTAGATTAAATATGAATTAGTAGCGATATATTTGCAAAAAGTTCGACGCTGGCATGTGGCAACAGCGTGAAAATAGTTTAAGGTGAAGATGATGACGTAATCGATTGTAGTCTGTCGCAATGTTAGGATTCGATATTATGCCCATGCTGCCAGTACTTGGGACGCATACGGGTCGCTTTGAAACCTTCACCGTTCGTATGTACGCAAGTACCCTATTACGTGTTAGTGGATAATCCGTCTCGCAAATGAAGTCAATTATCTTCGTCGAGCACTTTTCAAAATTGGCCGCGATTTGCGTTCCCTATTCACGGCGCATGAGTAATGTTACGGTCGGTGTCGACCAAATATAGTCGTTCCGTAGAACGAAGTCTTTTCCCAGTGATCGTTTTCATTGTTGAATATTATAGAACTATCGAAACGTTAGATATGGGTTTTATAGAGTGGTAATTTATATGCAGATAGTAAAACCTCAGGCAATATTACACGACAGTTACTTTCTAGTTAATTTGCCACAGGAGGCCACAAAATAAATCGCATTACTATAACAATATATCTTCCGCCTGGGGAATAATACTTCGAGAAGACCTAAAATTTCGATTTGACAGAGATTTCGTGACTTCGAGTTGCATTGTATTGATTCAATGACATGTGTTCATGTTATACCAGGTACACATGATCAATATAACATTACCATACATTGTGATTGGTGTTCAATCGTTCCAAAGTCATAAATAGCAATAGATATGTTATCAATAACTAATAAACATTGTCAAAAAATGTCAATCCTGTTTGCATCACAAATGTTTGTCACGACTTTTGTCGACCGGCCTATCATTTTTTTTTCGATTTTGTGGGCAAGGTAGCCTATATCAAAAAATGCCCATCTCATAAGGTAATATATATCAATGAACGAATTTTATCATCAACACCTGGGTCTGGAAGGGCAAACACTTCAGTGTATTTTACTACACTCTTATGTGAACTCATTTCTACCGTCACACCTGGCTCGCCACAATTACGTTAAGTCGAAGTGAAACAAGTCTCCCGGACAACGGAGCTAACTCAAGAGTAATAATGGCGGTCCACTTTTAATTGAGAATTTTTTTAGATCAAAGCAACATATTGTATATATAATAATCAAGGGGTTCGTTGTATTTTTAGTTCGAACTTTTAATCCATTCACGGAGTTGTTATATACGTCATTACTGCGTTGGCTGTGACACCATTTGCAGCATTTGTCATTCGTCGGCGTGCTGTGAACACCGCCAGGTCAATGTTACAGAGTTATTACGCAGATTCCTTTTCGGATCAACGGGTAGATTATGTACTTCGGCGATTGGCTATTACAGCGCACGTAGCGCTTTCAATCATTGTATCATCATTAGAAATTCTATTATTAATCAAATGTTTTCTCTCTGGTGACGAAGAACTTTCCGTTGGGAAGCACGGTCGTCGGTCGCATGGTTTGGTGCCCTTTTTAATTAATAGTGATTCTCAGCATTTCTGTTTGCATTGGTCTATTTGGTTTGTTACCCAAGTGCGAAGTCTGCACCACGAAGTTTGTCCTATCTATCTTATCAGAACTTCAACTATTATAGTTTCTTAGTAACATGTTGGCCAATGACATGCTTAATATGTAAATGATGACAAAATAGATGCTTGAATAAAATATCTCTAATGTCTGGATTCATCTAACAGAGACAGTAGTAGCAGTAACATTGCTTAATATGGTAGTGGAAACTATTTGTGGATATTTAATGAAGGACATATGTTATTAACCACGTTGAAAACGTATTGGGATTTACCTGTGATAATTTTAGGATTGAATCACTAGTCACTACCAGTTATAACAGGAATTATAATAAAGAAAAACGATATCAATGAAATTAGAAATGATAGCAGACGAGGAACAACCGTTATGGAATGGATATCGTAAGTTTGAAGTATTTTGTATTTTTGCAGCAATTGCATTAACATTTTCTCTAGCATATTCGGAAATGTGAATGCTAAACTTATCTCATTTCATTGTTTACTTATATTTTGGCATATTGATGTTCAGATAAGGGCTGTGCATTATAAATATTTCCTTTGAGTTCTCGCCCGCTTTTTTATTTTTTTATGTGAAATATTTTCTCAAAATCTAATTAGGACAACTGAACACTATTTTGTGCCATTTTTATTGAATTACCCCGTTTTAGTCCATGCCACCTAGAATATTATATGAACTGTGATCACCTGTTATCTGTGATGGAGAGCAAAAAATTACTGTTGTCTTCATCTAATTCGAAATTTTATTGAAAATATCCTTAATTGCATACTATTTTTGGACCTCAAATTCAATTATCTGTATGAAACTATAATTAATATTGACATGCGCTATACGTTACCAATGGGATTCATATTGGAAAGGTTGATACCATCGTACACTTTTCAAGCACTGCACACAAAAACGACAATCACCAATTGTGATATTGATCGTGATCAGTGAATGTAGTAGGTTATGGCTTTATTTGAGAATAAGTACTATTCAGTTTATTCTATTCAAGAATCAAATATATCACGGGTGAAATATTAAATTTCGATGCCTGTTTTATTGTATAATTTATAAACTATCCATTTGTCAAAAATGACCATTAGATCGCATTTAGTATTTATCGACGATTTGTACGCATCTCTGAATAAAAATAATTACCTGTACCTTTGGTTTGAATATCTTGAAGAATGAACAAATTTCTTTTTTCCACCTAATTGTTCGTTCTTCATTGCTAATTGCTAGGTATGAGCGAAGAAAGCAACGTATTCATACTATAGCATTATATAATATTATAATTATAAACACAATATTAAATGATATGAAACAATTTATCCAGCTCACTGTAATTGTATACAATTTTTATCCCCGCTAATTATGTCCACGACCGGCCGTATAATCTGTAATATCCGTCTCAATAACTCTTGTATAGACATGGTGGTACCTTTAATTGATGGAGCAGCATATAATTGACAATTAATTACATTAATATTTGATTTAGACTCTTGTGACATCGATTAACTGTAAACAACATTTTTGCATGAAAGCATAATTTTTATTGTCATAATATCACCTTTGAGGCCATATCTTCGAATACAGTTTCCTATAATGACAATATCCTAGTTATTATCAACTTCAGTTTGATTGTATTTTTATTTTTAATGTTTTGAATCATATGTATAAATGTTTAAAATAGTTTAAAGCCACTTTCAATAGTTTTACTGGTACCTTTTCTCGTCCAGATTTTCTGACAATCTGATTTTGGTTGACACACCAGCTTATTTTCCTACTTAGAAATCAGTGACACTGATCTAAATGGATTTTAACAAAAAATCACCGGAACATTTATCTTTAAATAATTTTCATCTTATTTTACAGTATATCAATTGCAGGGAGAAGCACCTCGACCCAAAGCAGTATTGTGTAACAAACCTGAGGTATGAATTGTATATTGCTCTTTTTGAGATAGATAGAAAAATCTGTATTATGTGATCTGATTTAACATAATATTGAAGTAATCATAGCATTTTGGGTATTATAGTCTCTATTACACTGTATTTGGAAATGAAGGTCACCCCTTTCTCATGTTGGTCGGTTACAGTACTTGAACAGTGACAGAAACGCAAAGGAAGGACTTATTTTACGGTTGACCGCGATACACTGAGAATAATTTTCAACTCATTTTAAACAATGTGGTATTACATCACCTTAAACGTTGTATTCATAAGCCATCTTAATCAAAATTGTTTTTGTCGAGAGTGTATAAACCACGAATGGTTCGCCTTTCGAAGCTTGTGCTATTTCGATATCGAGACGTCTCGATTGTATTACAATGAACTTTTGTTCGCGGGTTTAAGCAATACTGAATATTACTTGTGGATATTGAATATTTACATTCAAAGTTTTGGTAGGGAGAAACAGACTACGCTCTTTTGAATCCACGGAGTACCTGAATCTTGAACGAAAACAAATCATTAACTCAATACACACAACGGTCGTGGAAGCAACATTTAATAAGATCCCATTCCCTTTTAGCATCTAACGAAATTGTGAAGGGAAATTGTTTTGCCAAACGTGATTCACAATGATATTGTGCTCCGTTCTGGATACATACTTGTAAAGTATGAAAGTTTTTTGCGTTAACTTCATTTCAAACTGTCAGTCGACTGAAATCTGATGTTTCGTTGGAAGATGTGATGCAATTTTTTCCCCTGGAAAAATTATTTCAAGCATATAATCAAAATCAGAAAGGATTTTGCATGTACTCCTTCAAAAACGATCATGTGAAATGGATGGTATCTCTCGATTAACCATTATTTGGTAAAATCCTATGGTGACTATCATATACCTACAGTATTTTCGCTATTCCAACATAATGACCAGCAAAACCAAAGCAATCTTTCTTGTTCGTCTTTGCGGGAGAGAAAACGCGGTCGTTCTTGGATAGTCACCCTCAGTAGTTTTATTGACTTAGTACTGATTATCTATTTTCCCGGCACTTGTGGTGTAAATTATGGCAATGAGGTACTTTAACCGATCAAACTTTTAGATAATTGACACGAAAAGACAATTTGAACAACTTATTTTGGAATTAGGGACGAAGTCTGACGTATATGTGGTTTGAGGTTACGGCCATGTCGAATATATTGCGAATTAGGATAAGGGATCATTATGCTTATGAAATGTGTGTGAGTGTTAAGCAAGAAGCCTTTCATTATCACCTGTTTAATCACAAATATATTCAGGCATGCCTTAGGAATAAATTGCTCTTTGAGAATCGTCGTTCGCGAGGCATGTGCCTTTAGTGAAGTTTGAGTGAAGTCATTTTGACTTTGAAGTTACATTTGCCTATAAACAACGTTGAAGTATTCTTTATTTTTTTAGTATTATATATATTTTTATCTTTGTTTTTCACCGAGGCCGACCGATCATATGTACAACAATAGATCTAGGTTCTTTGGCGTGTTGGCTGTTATTTCTAGCATATTGTGGTTCCGTTACGCAGTGTCAAGCTGAATAGCTAGCTACTGATGGAAAGGAATGCAAAATATTAAGTTCCGTGTCACACTATCAAGGTTTATTGTTCTTCTCTAAAATAAATAAAAATCATATATTCATGGCGCGTGGGATTGATTTTGTGAAAAATATGATGGCACATAGAATTATTCGATGATTCCTGTAAAAAATATATAATTTCTTTCTCAAAATAAATAAAAGTAAATATCTTGAAATATAAGCCTAATAACAATCGCAGATTAGTTAGATTTTCATTTTCTACTTGGGAACCATGGTCGTGCCCGTGCCCCATTCATTCATAGTGCATGAGATTACCTATCATCGAATGTAAATTGTTATTAACAAGTTTTACTCATGGTTTGGACAAAGGAAAGTAATTGCAAGTACATCGCGCACCTGCTTGTCATGTTGCTCAGCAAAAATTTGTTCTTTGCAATGTGTAATCATTGTAAGATTACATGCAAAATAAACGTTGTTTTTCACGCCAATAATAATAATTATGATTCAAAACATTTTTGAGACGCATTGTCATTTTCTATCTTTATCTTTTTTTTCAGACAAGATTTATGAGATTTTCCATTTCAAACATTCTTAAATATTATAACAGAATTCCTATTTCACACTATACTATATACTGATGTGCATAATGATCTAAATTTGGCGTTTTATTGCCCCTGGTCATAATGACAACCTGTTACGGTCTTGTGCCTTACATTGCTAGGCAAAGTACATTCCAATCCCCATGCCTAATTTCCGTAACACGATATGTCGTGTGCTTTGTTTTGTGTATCACAAATATCACAGAATGCGTCAAATATAGCGTATAGGAACGCGTGGTATTTACTGTCTATTGATATGAAAATCTTTGTTTTAATTTTGTCCAGCATGAAATAAATTAGTTCCTTGCATTTCTTGATTACCTTCAGCAGTCGTTCGGAATCAAATCATTTCAGCTATGTGACTTTATGACCCTATATTTTACCTTATAATTTATATTTTGGTTCTTTGTGCTCAGTTGTTTCGATAATTGTTCAATGTGGAATTAAATACCAGACATAGTTGGACATAAGCGCGGAACTTTTTTTTCACGAAATTGTTATATATATAATTACCGGTACTTAATTTAATGAAATAAATTTTCTAAATATATTTATAGGTGTTTTTGAATAAGTTTTTTTAATGTTTATTTCTATTGTTGTCGTTTATTAAAGACCTTTGTCTTGTATTTGGAAGACCATCCATTAGTTATGTCTTATAAGTTTCATCGTGTTTATACATATATATCAGTTGGTTGCAAACCGATCCTTCATATAATTTCAAGTTATGACGATGATAACAAGTCACGTCAGGTCAAGAATTATAATGATGATTTGTTCGCTTACTTCATTTTTGATTGGATTATTCCATACGTAATTTATCATGAATCAGTATTAGTTTTTGTACTCGTGATCAAGGCTAAAACGGATAAGTCGTTGGACATGTTTCAGTTTTATTGTTGGTAAATAATATTGGATATATTCTAGGTCAAGCAGACTTTCACTTCAAAATTAAAGTTGAAAATTCTAGAGGATAACTTTTTCTCTTATACATTGATTTTCTTGTCATTATATTGTCATTGATAGTTCAATTTATTGGATTTTGCGTTGGACCCCAATACCTGACAAAGATACACACTTCCAAGCAATGCTTGTATTTTGAACCTAAACCAATATAAAAATAATGTTAATATATCCTAAATAATCTCTGTTAAAAATCATTAACTAAAAATTGAGAGAAATAATTTGGTTTATTTGCCGTTCTGCATTTTACAATATTCTTATTAATCTTTTGGCGCGATGCTGTAAACGTGATTTCTTTCGGAAGCTTATTGCTGTTGTTTGTTTTTGGTTCGAAGGTGATAAAATTGCACCTGTATTTTCGTGCTTCACTCACACATACTACGTCATATCGATAGGATTGTTCTATTTCGTATACATGTGTTATGTTACTCACTTGTAATGTTAATTAAGAGTGGATCAATTCATTGACGATTGCTCTGGTGCTTTTGTGGGATACAGACTTAGTGTCAACGCATATGCCGCATTCATTCCATAACATAATAAATAAAGCACATTGTGTAACACCATTTATATTTTCGAGTGTGATCATGGAAAAATCATAAAAATCGATCGATGACATTCAAAATAACTACGTGCTAAGCTGGTTGGGATATGCCAAAGTTGGTCATTCGATATATCCATCTTAGTCCGAATCTTTGTAATCTATACGAGGATATCACTAAATTTATAGTCTATATTCTTACAGGTGTATATTCAATCTATAGTCTACTACTTCAAAATATCTACTGTCTAATTTTATCGCTTTGTAAACAAATCTGAGAAAATACAAGAGAGATTTGAGAGAGTGAAACTAGACCCTCTGATTTACTAATACCCCGTCGAATTGACTTGCTCTTGCATGTCTTATTTTCACATTGTCCAAATTGAGAGCGATTATGGTACCACAGTTAACTTGGAAGTTGACACATGTTATTGAAATCCCTTGTAAGCAGCGGAATCGATTCGTGTTGTACATGGAGATGTTATCTCTATTTCACCTTTTTGAATGTTTTGGTAACATCGACTTAACGGACATCATCGTATGATAATAAAGCGTCTTTTGCAGGTGCAAACGCTTCGTAATTTTTGGCATTAGTCATAAATATACACCACATTAGATTAGTTTTGACATAAAGCCGACCATAATACGAAGTATAACCACGTTGGTCCGAAAATTACAAGCTGTATTTGTGCGATATTTGACGCATACGTGCTGCTCCATTTTTGCAAATACGTGTTATTGTACGAGATATTGCCCAGTAATCTAGTAGTATGATTTTTATATGCAAGTTTAACTCATACACGTTTTAACTACCGGAGACAACATAAACTTTGAAATACTCGAAAAGTTTGGATAAGGGATGGTTATATGGATCTAGATGCTATTTAAATACAACCTCCGTGGATGGATATTGGTCTGTCATATGGGGAGCAGGTTCAGTCGACCGTGTCCATTTTTCTGCACAAGGCTAACATGGCGCATCACATCACATTAGTAGAGTAAATATGAACCGATGTACATCTTCCGATATGCGTGCCTGTCATAACGACGAGATTTCTATCCAATCCGTGGAAACCAAAAGTTTACCATCCTCTTCTCCTCGCCAAGTTGCTGAGATGAGATTTACTTATAGCCACCCCATACTTGGTAACTCGGTTTGTTTGTTGTGCCGTGTTTGTGCAGAAAAATTGATTTTCTACGGTAAAATGGGAGCGTTTTGTTGATAAAGTGGTCGCAAAGTCATAAATAAAACTTTCGACATATTACGAAAGCTTATTTCGGCATAAAAATTGATTCTTAGTAGTGCGTTTTTATCACACTTTAGACTTAGAGGCTGTAGTGTGTTATGCGTTAATCAAGTTCAATTCGTTTGAGTGTACTGTTCTCAGTGCAGTCTAATCGTACTTTTTGTGTTTTTGCGTTCTTTCCATGAATTATTTATAATTGTTGTAGTTTGACGCCCAAATTTACGCTCCATAAATTTGGGTCCACATTAAAAGAGTACTCGTTATCACAATATCTGTCACCCAGCTCTCGCTGTTTATCGTTTTATCGGTGTAAATAATTGGCGATTAAACACGACTTCGTGTTTAATAACGTTAGCCCTCGACAGGTAATTTCAATCTTCGTTGGAGATTTTATTCATAAGTGGGTCTGCATATTGACCCACCGTGCTAAGCAAACGAATACATGCCTGGACTTGTTCGCTCGTTAACGCATTGCCCAATGAAAGTAGACGTAACCCTACCTAGACATAATGTCGGCAAGGAATTTAAATCCCAGTTTCCTATTGTGTAGGTTGGAATGCGAGACGATATCAAGCTGATTCGTGGTTTATTTCAACTGTGCGAAAACGCGGATGAATTTTGAAGACACTGATTTTATAATACACATATCTAATGTGGTGACCGTACATTTGAACCCATGTACATTTGAACCCATGCGTATATCCACGGGTTCAATCTATATGCGGGTGCTAAAACCGATGGGTTAGGGTTAGTATGGGTATAACTATCCGTGAAACAAAAAAAATTCCATAGGTGCAATAGCATACAGGTGCAATTGTCATGGGTTCAAATGTACGTGGGTTCAAATGTAATGGAACCATCTAATGTATATAGTACAGTACTTAGTATTTGGAAATGACATGGAAATCACAAATATGAAAATTTGGCGTTAAATTATACTGAGCAATGTGTACGATACATTGGAATAAAGGTGTTACAAAAGATTAATCTGATCATCATTTCAATTCCCGTGTGAAACACAGGTATCATGTTCTGGTATTGTTAACGATGATTACCAGTAAAGATTACGTCACATTTGCACGACGATTGTTACATAGTTTTGTAACGTTCAGTCAACCATCATTTCACAGCGCGCTTGATATATACTTTTAGTTTAATTAAGTATTTGATTTAAATAATTTCCAGCAGTGTATCAATATGCTGACTTATTTATCATTGGTAGATTTGTATTGTTCCACAGTTATCTTTAAGATACCGATAGTCGATCCATCGTAGGGAAACGCTCCCCATTCTCATATCGTTTGGTGTGTATTCTCCTGAATCATTTCAAGTTAAAATGTGGTATACAATTAATAAACTATTGAAAAACTCCGGCCTAACTTTTCCCAATTCGGGCATGACGAGATCCGTTTAGCTGCGTCCGGTCTGTCGTCATGCTTCATATATAGATGCTCTTTGCTGGCTAAACTGAAAATAAGTTCAAAATGTAATTGAAGATAAGTTGAAAAGTAATATTACGACCTTTCCGGCGTTTTGTCTCCATAGTCGTGTAATTTGCCAGATACTCTTCCAAAGTATGCCGCTTTACCTTTTAGAGTTGTAAATGTGCTACATTCTTGAATCGTAGCAATAACGGTTCCCCGAGCCGTATCGCTCTCTCCTTTCAACGCTGTCCGCTCGCAGAAGGTCTGAATTTCGGTTTTATATTTATTGGGATTTGTTGCTGTTGTGGAGCGATAGTTGAATGTCGATTTGCGGATTCTGCTATCTGTATAACAGCTAATTTTACAAATATGCTCTCAACTTATGAATTAACCGTCAACCACGATTACCTCTTCCACAAACGTGTCCTTCATTTCCAAAAGCGGTTCAAATAATTATATACACACCGTCGTTGATGGTGGTGATTTACATTCTCTTTCAAAAACTCCCACGGTTTGAAAAAGGTATTCGCCGTACGGTATAGGTATAAACATTCAAGTCGAAACTTATTTTTAGTCTTCGAGGGAAGAAAAGTATCGAATTCGACTACCTGAAAGTTGCCGGTGAAAATAGAACCATAGCATAGAATCCACATTTTCGATAACGTGTGCATTGGTCCTCTTTAGCAAAGCCCTATGTCTGGATAGACTTGGACAATAATGACTATTTGTAGAATAAAATATCCCTCAACAGATGTATACAAATAAGGGTCGTTGATAATTTGCAACGTGTTCTATCAGTTCACTGACTCAGGTAAAGTACAACATATGTAAACATGGGGTTGGTAAACATTATAATTTGTAATTCTGTGAGACGTGCACTAATTTACTGTTAATAATAAAAGTCAATAATCGTGGAATCGGGAGCTCCGTACGTTAAATAAGCAACCCAGCATACCCAGAAAAGACAAGAAATAAACCACTCGAAGCGAAATGTAATTGCCATCGATATTCCTGTCCAGATAAAGCCAGACAATAAAATTAAACATTCCGTCCATATGTCGGTCTCAAATTATATTCCCTTGGGTGCACTTCTAGCCGCTCGTATCTGATCGAAAATTCTAACTCGGTTATATGTTTACTCACTCCTTTGGCCTTAGAGTGGATTGGAAAAAAGTAAATTGCTGCATTACTAAAGCAGTCCAACAGTAGGTTAGGCATAGTTCTACCAAAACATCTAATACTGTGGTCTCCATCATTTGCCACGTCCCAAACGTTTACGACAGTGTTGATTGTTGCTGACAATTCATATTCATAATAATAATTCAGGATATTTAGCCCAGCACGACACATTATTTATACATTAATAAAGAGTTCAACGGTCTGATTCAATGCAACAACAATTCAATACGCAAAACTACTTGAAATGTACTGAATTTTGAATTCATTAAAACAGCTTTGACAGTTCTAGATATATTTTACTCTCAACCACATGCGATACCAACTGACCAACCAACATCACCAGCATTATTTGTGATATTTCTTCATTATTTATATTTTGACTTGTACTAGAATTCCGGCTCGTTTCCAAACTTCATTTGTTAACATTGCGGTATATTTTTATTATTGGTCACACCTGATGATTCATTCAGTAATCGACTTGACATAAGCCGGTAAATATTTTCAGCTTTGTCATAAACCTACCCATCACGTGGAAAAGCGTCAAATCCTAATTCTTTCGCGAGTTCTCAAGCCGAATCCAACAAAAGCGTACTCGTGTGCGGTATCCTTTAGTCATTGTTGTGCGGTATTAACAGTTCGAACATGGTTCTCAAGTTCTTTTGTGTTTCGCTGCACTTCAATTCCTTAAGATAAGCTATTCGGTCGATGGTGTTATGTGACTTTTGTTTGTAATAGGACTTGGGGGTGCTTGGAGTAATTTGTCTAAATGTCAAATTAAGTATCAAAGCGCGGATAAATGTCGATACCAAAGTACAGTAAAGTTTATGAAAAATGCCACGACCAAGAATATTATTCACCTGTGAAGATCGCAAAACATGTCATTAAACATATAAGGTTTGACGTAGTAATAGATAAAGGTAACCATCAACCAGCGTGGTATCTCACACCTGGCTATGAAGTTGATTAGTAATAAATTGCCAAGTTGTATTTGGGTGGTCAAATCAACGTTTAAAATAGACAATCATAAGACCCACTATCAACGGGCTTGGGCTAACAGTGCTCATAATCAAAAGAATGAAAATTGAGCTATTGTAAAACTCGTCATTTATCAAACCAAAAGGTGTTAATTTGGTTTTTGGATTTCTGCATTAAATGGAAACTTTCTATTTTTTTTTCAGGCAAAGATTGGACGTCCACCTTACTTCGGAGACGAATGTCATGGACTCATTTCCAGAGAAGATGGGGATATTTTGTGTCAGGAAGAGGGCAACTTCCTTATCCGCGAATCTCAAAACGAGCGAGGACGGTATACTTTAGTTTTAAGGTAATGTTTTTAAATATTTTTTCTCAACTATTGTAGCAGTAGTTGGCTTTCATGAATAAAGTTGTCTTTTGTTCATTAGCTAGTTGATTTTAAGTATAATTGACGTCTCAATGCGATAATGACGTCCAATGATATACCGGTAGTTGAAATTTCCTGTAGCATTAACCAGTTTTACATCCAACTCATAAAACCAATGAAATATGCTGTATTCAGTTCGTAAAATTATTTGTCTGAATTTTGTTGGAACCAAATTCTAAGCGTTGACTCTACCCTAACCAAACATTTAGCAGCACGGCGTGGAACAGTTAGAAATTTTTACTAATCAAAACCATTCCCAATTTCATTATTTAACCATTATGCCAACATGAGACAAATGATGAAAATTGCCTGTTTATTTACGTTATTATCATTTCTATTTTAAAATCTTCATGAGTTGTATTATGTTACGTTGTCGGATGTTATGGTTGTCAGTTTAGGAAGATAAAGCACTTAAAGTTCTTTCGCGTGCGTGCTGATTAATTGTTTTTGAACTAGTTATCTAACAAGAGGGGATGCGGTACTAGATTTTGGCTTAATCTTTTGTGTGCCGACTAATTGAAAGGAATGCAAATAAAAGCTTGCTTTAAGGGCCATTTGCTAAGTTTGTCAAATAATGGACACCTGACGCGCCCTTCTAGACTCGAAAATTGAAATACATTTATGGTACTTGTCCGCAAATGCAGACAAGTACTACGGAGATATTTTTTTAGCAGTTTTTCACATGTTATAACAACGTAATTATCAGAGAAGAAAATCGTTAACCGAATTTGAAATACTCGTAATTTACTGTGTATTTACTTCGTCTCACATCTGTTGCGCCGTCATTTATTGGTAAAATCGTAAATTGGACGGTATTTCAAGCGATGTCGCAATATTAAAAGTATTATGGGCGCAATGTTTACATTTTCCGTATCGCTTTATTCTTTTATCGCACAAAATTTTACCTCAGGTTTTATGGCAGACAGCAAATATTTGAAGAACGGTCAAATTGAATATCACATTATCAGCTCCATCATATATGCCGTCTTTAGGCTTATCTGAAACGATAATATAATCCACGAAAAGTGAACAGACGAATTATTATATGGTTTTTCAATGCAGATACATATATAAGTAAATTAGTTTTTGAAATAATTTAGCCGCAAATTTATCTGCCGTCTGAAAGACATGATTATCGACCATAAGTTTTAACATGACTTTTTTATGCGGGAAGATTCATCGCAACGAGCGAAACGATCCATGCGGTTCGAATTCACTTATTTTTTAAGTATAAGACTTAAAAAAAACAGATTACGACACTCTATAATGATGTTGTTATACGCAATGTGGTTTTTCTTCAATTGATTTACTTGTGCACTTGAATGCGTACGGATCTTATAGCTCTGAATAATGATGCTGTCATCCAACATCTATGTCGTGGTTGCACTGTTTTCAACTGGAACAGGTTCACGAAATACAACGAAATTGCCTCATGCTTAAATTATTATTGGATTACGACATTACAATACGAAAACAATTACTTCTTTAGTCAAAAATGCGGAAGAAGATGATTATTCATCAAGTTCCCGCCGTGCTTTCATGCATACTTCCTCATTCCTATTTCATTTTCTTTATATTTGAAGATTTCAGTATTTGATTTTGTTGTTTTTCAACTTACTTACTTTGACCACTATCAGATTTCATTACAAAGTACACCATATCCTGATGATCTAATAAAAGCAATCACGTTTTAGGGTAAACTGTGGTTTGATTAGTAAACCCTTCAGGTTATTCTGCTGAAAAATTTACTGAACTAATTCCGGTATGACGAATACTCAACCGCTTCACACATTCCGCAATGAATCATTATAGCAATACCGATTCACTTCAAATTCCTAGATGCTTGAGATTATCACAAATAAGTCTTGTTTAAGGACAAACGGTTGACGACCACTGATGTGGGTGTCATGGTTGCCACGGAACATTGTTGCAGGGGAGTTGCGCTGGTATGCATATGCAGTATATACTATATACATGTGAATGTATTGGAATTAGTAACAAAACGTATTTTTTTTTTTAAACTTGGATCTGGAATCGTCAATTACTAATGCGAAATATCATTTTGGTGGTCTACTGGTCGGCATCAGTCAAATTTCTATAGTCCCCTACAGGCGAACTATTTATATTCCTTTTCTTATGATAAAATTAACCAATTACACACAAACCACATCCTCAGGTGTGGGAAAGTACGATTAAACTTTTAAACCCTTTGCTGTTTATTCGGGCAAAGAAATATGATATCGTAGTCGAGTTACCATATTTTCCCCTAAACTGCATATTGCGGCTAGGAAATGAGATTATTGTGCTATTTTGAGTCAAAAGGTTGGGTAAAATACATGAAGCCAACAATATATATTTTGTAAGCTATTGTGTAATCTATTGCACATACCACAGACGATCGACTCGTAAGTACCGGAGCTGAAGTCCGATATTCGCTCCTAAATAGGGATTATATGATTTTATCTGTTTTTCACGTAATTGCTAATTTTCTAATATAAACATAGTTCATTCAAAGTTGTATTAGTTTACAGACAACTTGACCCGCGTCTGACAGTATAATTTCAATACACATGCTGAGATCGTGATTGTGGGTATATTTTCGAAATTATAGAAGGATTGGGTCACTTATTATAATCCAATCGAGCCGAAACGGAACTACTTATACAATCCGCGTTATAATTGCTGTTTTGAGTATGGGATGAATATATCTACCACGTGTTTTATCTCTGATCCATGCTGTGCTATATATAAATATTTGAATTTATCTGTAATGAAGTTTATGTACCGTCGTCGTTTTCAGTGTGATATTATGATTTCATTGTCAAGATAAAAATCAAGTATAAGCAAATGCGATATATAGCGCGTCGATGACCGCTTGCAGTTGTTCTATCAATATCCTTTCCACGTTTAGTTAAGGAATCCGGAAATTGATTTATTTGCTTGATAAAAGATGAAAAAATGAATGTGTATATTTTTCTATCCGCCTGTTTTAATAAGTAACAATTCATTTCTTACCCACTCAAGATATAGGATTGATTATCTTGGGCCAAGTTTTCTTCGTATTGCCCTGTATGCCAATAGTTGCAGAGTATTATCGCTATTCTGGTACTTAAAAACGTCGCGATGTGTGACCATTTCATTTTTGCCCTATGTCAAAGTAATCCATCTAGAAATGCCCTCCGCGTACTTTTCGAGGTATAATCAGACGTTTGGGTTTTGAATTTCAGTCATTGTGAGAATAGCGTATCTGTCCTAATCTCTTACGCATCAAGTTCTAAATATATCCAGCGAGCTTATGAAATAGCTAAGCCTTGAAAATTGCAAGACTACGATTTCTATCCGATGCGACGATATTTCTCCGAAAGCCCCATTTACAGTGTGTATATTCAAATCACCGTGGTCTTGTGGAGTTGCGACCGATTTGTCGATGAGAAGCACACCGCTTCGTATTGCGTATTCCTTTACATTTGATATGAATTATGAAGTCGCCAATAACATTTCCAGCGAAAATGTTTTATTTATTTAGATTGCTTTTGCTGTCAGCTAAATTGAATATTTTAAAACTGAACTTTTAAGTCGTGGTTGATTTATGGTTATTGATAAATTGTGTATTCGTCGTTGGGGGCAATAACCCCAATAAAGGAAAGCGTGCCAGAAATTTGATTTACGGATGACAGACGGTGCCTAAATAAACTAAATTAACAAAAGGCGTCGATGGCCTTCGAGTACGTGACCCATTGTCTCCGATGATGAACGACCATTTAGTTTTGCCGCCTATATCTGCACCGGTAAAACATGTGTATCCAATTGTAAATCCGCTCTGCAAATACTTGAGCCACCTGCCAACTATTTCAAGACTTGACTTGGGTGGCTCTTCAACGTTTCCGCTTTTGATGAAACCGATTTCCCCGTTAATTGGCGGCAACACAAAAATCTATTTTGTAAGAAGGTTGACATTCATTTCTACTTCAGTGAGCGACAGTATTTTGTGAGGAAATTAAGGGGATACTTGATGTAACGCCTGGATAATATCATGGAATGGAATTGTCGTCTGTGGAATTTAAGTTATCTACAAATTTTTTATGTGCTTTCACAGAAGTAATGAATTTATACAAGATTGACAATATGCGAACAAAATTGGTCATAACGTACTCAATTCTCCAGGGGTTACTCAGGTTTTCAGAATCGCTTGTGTCGATACTCGATATCCATGTCAATAATACGTTTATTCGTGTGTTGGTGTACAGTTACAGTTGCACCTTGGCTTGTGTTTGGACGCAACCCCAAGTTCAATAGTATTTTGTCGTGTGCATGTCACATTTTGCATTGTTTTCCGTCATGCTGTGCTGTTTACCACACTAGTAGTAAGTAACATAAGTCTTATAAATAGGAATGGTTTAAATTCAAGTGACATGACCCCATTCCCCGTGGTTAACCGCGACTGCTTGGTCGGCTGTAGTTTTTGCACTTCGTTTCCTGTTGACATAATGCCAACACATCTCGTCCACGAAACGAAATACAAATTTTTGTACGTGGTGCATTGCAAAACTAAATGAGGGCTGTATTTGAATTAGGGTTTTCACAAACGACGCTAAGTGATTGCAAAGAGCATATTTATCCCCATTACCATAATACCCTTTTATATTTTCAATTATATTCAGCAGCTTGAATTATGCCTTTAGTCAAGGTTTGACCGAGCTCTCAGATTCAGCTGCACTGTAAATTTACTGTTGGGTAGGTGGGCTGGTTACAGGTAACGTAGATCGCCGAAAAATAACATTGGAATGACTAAAACTTTGTCCCGTCGCCTTACTAATAACACAAAAAATACTAATTTTCAGTCGTTAATCGATAAACGTTATTAGGGTTCCTCCACGTCATAATTTAAAAATACATCGAATTTCCACTTTTACTGTCACACG